GGTCCCTTAGGTGTTCTGGATCTGTTTCCTTATCAGGAAATAAAAGAGCATGAGCCATGTGAACGCTTTTCTAATGACTGTCAGGAGGTGGGGAGAGGATTATAGAATCAGGAGAGCTGCTTTCTCAGACCACACCTGCCTCTCCACACCACCCCTTCACGCCCCACCCCTGTTCGCAAAAAGCATGATACTCCCATTCTCCCATTAGCTGAGAACTACTAGGCTGTATCATGTTTCCCTGGTGGCTCAGCAGTAAAGAACCCGTCTGCAATGCAGGAGCTGCAGGAGACATGGTTCAATCCCTGGGTTGGGAAGACCCCTGAAGGAGGAAATGGCACCCCACTCTAGTACTCTTGCCTGGAAAATCCCATGGACAGAAGAACCTGGTGGGCTACAGCCCATGGGGTCGCAAAGAGTCAGACATGACTGAAGTGACTTAGCATGCACTGGATTATATCATCTATCTCCAAGGCCCTTTGCCACACTAAAATGTTAATACAGGATCTGAGAACTGGAAGAAAATTCAGAAATTCCCCAGTCACAAAACCAAGCCCAGAAGAACTTTTTATTCTAACCATAGTTAGATACAGCTGTGAAACTTTGGGGAGGTGTGAGGCTTCCCAAAGGGATTAGCATTTTATTAAGCTGGGTGATGTGATGAAATATTTTATTATTCTCAATCTTCACCCTTCCCAGATTTCAGGCCCTTTTCAATGTGACTTTGTAGTTCCTGTCACTGGAATAGTACACTGAACCACCTGTTGGTGTTAGGTTTGGCCAGATGACATGCCTTGATCAAAGGAATATTAGCAGGAGTGACATGAACAGAGAGGCCTTAAATGTGCTTGTAAGATTTTGTTCTCTTGTGCTCCTACTTTCCCCGCGAGGAGAACTTGCACTTGGTAGCCTAAGACATGTGCGGAGCAGACCTGCAACTTGGAACCCAACCTAACAAGTCTAGATGAACTGAATTCCAGCCAACCCACATTCACAAGAAGGAGAAATACACACTTAACTGTCATGTGAGATTTTGCATTTGGTAGTTATGCAGAATTTTTATAGCAGTAGGGTAATTAGGATAATAGCTCACCTATTTAATATTTTAGACCTCAATCTTTCCATTGTATTGAGAGTCTAAGGAAAAATCTCACCCTCTCTGTCACTCATATAAGTACTGATATACAAAAAACAAAAGTGTGATTACACATCTCTATAATAGTACATCTGAAAAAGAGTCAGATGTAGTGGCAAAGATCTGCTATGAACAGAACCTATCCATAGTGCTGAGTCAGAAGAGAAGTTAATGGCACTGGGCTCTTCATCCTATCTAAAATAACAGTCAGCCAAATGTTGCAATTATGTTTATTTTATATAAAAATACCACCACATAAGATAATTTACCATGAAAAGCATACTTCATACTGAAGTAATATGTCCTAGTCAAAGTATTATAATATCTCAATTAACCTGAATGAAGAGAAATGGGGGTATTTCAGTTATTATAATTTTACAAGTAATAAATATTTTTAAGATAACATTTTTGCAGTGAAACAAAATTTTCAGATAGGTATTCATTTTAAGATAAATTTACTGAAATATAAGAAGTGACATGTTTGCTTGGCTCCTTTTTTAAATATGTTTTTAATATACTAGTTTTCTTTGATAGCTCAGTTGGTAAAAAATCTGCCTGCAATGCAGGAGACCCCAGTTCGATTCCTGGGTTGGGAAGATCTGCTGGAGAAGGGATAGGCTACCCACTTCAGTATTCTTGGTTTCCTCTTGTGGCTCAGCTGGTAAAGCATCTGCCTGCAATGCAGGAGATCTGGGTTCAATCCCTGGGTTGGGAAGATCCCCTGGAGAAGGGAAAGGCTACCCCTCCAGTATTCTGGCCTGGAGAATTCCATGGACTGTATAGTCCATGGTGTCACAAAGGGTCGGCCATGACGGAGCGACTTTCACTTTCACTTTTCTGTCTTAGAAAAAAAAATCTAAGGCATAGTGACCTAACAACAACTGAATATCTACTTCATGGTATAGACTCTGTATGTGTGTGCTCAGTCACACAGTCTTGCCTGACTCTTTGCAACACTACGGTCTGTAGCCCACCAGGCTCCTCTGTCCATGAGATCTTACAGGCAAGAATACTGGAGCGGGTTGCTGTTTCCTCCTCCAGGGTTATACTCTTTAGGTACTTTAAATTAATGATCATTATATAGTGCTATGGACAAACTATATAAGAAATAACAGACTAGGCCAACAATGCCCTAAGCCCAGGCTATCCTCTGAAAGCATCTTTGGAAAATGTAAACATAACATTTACCACTTACCCTTATCTCTGAAATGTGGTACTCTAATAAAATTGCAACTATTAAAAACTCTTCAGTCAAGTTCCGATTACTCATTCATTGATTTAAGAAACTCCCTACCATGTGCTCTGCACTGTGTGTGGAACTGGGAATAGAACAAGAGCCTACAGAAACGTCTCTGGTGGTCCAATGGCTAAGACTCTGCACTCCCAGTGCAGGGGGCCCAGGCCCAGGGGACTCTGGTCATGGAACTAGATCCCACATATCGCAGCTATGATCCTGCATGCCGCAACAGAGATCAAAGATCCTGCAAGCCACAACTAAGACCTGGTGTAGTCAAATAAATAAATAATTTTTTTAATAAAAGAAAAGAACAAAAGCCTGCAGGATAGTGGATGAGACAGACAAGTAAAGTGGGAAATACAAAATATGATCAACAACAGTCAACCCAACCTTCAAGGATCAAGAAAAAATGTCTGCACAGAAGCAGTTACATCCAAGGTGAGATCTAAAGGGCAAAGAGTCACTGGGGGTGGCAGAGGATCAGGGTTTCAAGCAACGTGAACATCAAGTGTAAAGGCTTTGCCGTCAGGGCGAGCATGGTGAATTCAGAAGATGCAAGTAATTCAGGTTCATGTATTCTTTATGCTTTATGCTTTTCTGCCTAAACCATCTATGAAAATAAATGCTTTCCTCCCTTCACCTCTGGAGGTTCTCCTCCTAGCTCACTGAAAACTCCTTTACAGGCTCCTTCACTGTTTCTTCATTATCTCCTAAACATCTTCTACTTGGAATGCATCAGGCTCAGACACTCACACTCTCCTTTTTCTGTCTACACTCACTCCATAAATGATCAAACACAAATACCACATATTTGTTCATAACTATAAAATTTTTACATCTCCTGACAATTAGATCCAAGCAATTACTCTACATCTCCTCAGATATCTATAGCGATCTCAAGCTAGACTATTGACATTCCAAATCCAAACTCTTGACATTCTCCCCACCTAAAACATCTTTCCACAGTCTCACTCAACTCTGTGAACAGCAATTTTCTGATTGCTCAGGCCAAAACCTTAGAGTCATCCTTAACTCCAGTCTTTGTCTGATACATCCCATACATCTGAGAACCTTATCTACTTTTGTCAAAAACCTTCAGAATTCTATTACTTTCAAACTAGTTTGCTATCACCCTAATTCCTAATTCAAATTCCGATTATCTTTAGTCTGGACTATTTCAATAGTTTCATAACTGTTCTTCCACTTCTACCCTGCACTCAACAGTCTATTCTCAACAGAGTAGCTAGAGTGATCCTTTTAAAAATACATCAGATTGTACCAATTCCTCTGCTTAAAACTCTCTATTATCTGACAAACTTATTTGAAGTAAAAGCCTAATTCTTTAAGAGCAGTCCACAAGGCTTTACTAGCCATCATCTCTCTGATTTTCTTCCTATTACATTTCCCTTCATTTACTCTGTTTCAGCCATCCTTGCAGGCCCTCAGATATGCCCAATGCAGTGTCACCTAAGGTCCTTTGCACTTGCTGGTCCCTTTGCCTGAAACCTTCACTGCCAACATCTGTATGATTCACTCCTTTATTTCATTCACGTCTCTGCTTAAATGTTCCCGTTATCAATGAAGCCTTGTCTCAACTCCCAGTACAAAACAGACTATCCTCCCCTCATTTCCCTTGTCCTATTTGTCTCTAGACTCAACTACAAAAAAACAAAACACAAGAGAGAGTCTGTTTAATTATTTACTATCTCCCTAACCTAGAATGTAAATCTGCTGCAGAGCATGAACATGTGTTACTCACTGCTGTATCTCAGAACCTTAGAATACTGCCTGGCAGATCATAGACTTGCAGTAAATATTATATTTGGTGGATGAATTAATAAAAGCTGAAAACATTATCAATTATTCTCATAAATGTTACTACTGTAACTTTCTATTTTAAGAATAATTTTTAATATTGTATCCCTAATTAATAGTCAAGTGCTTATAAACTATGTAAAGATACCTAATACAACTTTTTTCCCTTTAGCCTAAAGACATAAACACACACACACAGTTCACCACCAAGGGCTGAACAACCTAGAATACTTTATAGCACTCTTTTCCTTTACTTGGCTTACTACCTTTGAATATATTGAAGTGATATGTTGAGTTCCTGTGTTATCTTAGAGCCAATGAATATTTCACCTGTAATTCTACATATGAGTTAATAATAGTACTCTGTTGGTATTTGCCAAATTTCTATAGAAAAACTTCCGGTAAAGGATCTGTCTGCAATGCAGAAGACCAGGGTTCAATCCCTGGGTCTGGAAGATTCCCTGGAGAAGGGAATGGCAACCCACTCCAGTATTCTTGCTTAGAAAACCCCATGGGCAGAGAAGCCTGGTGGGTTGTCCATGGGGTTGCAGAGTCGGACACAACTGAGCAACTAACACTTTCACTTTCACAGGCAGACAAATCCACAGAAGAAATACAAACAGCCAATAAATATATGAAAAATGTTCATTTACATTAATGTTCTTTAATGTTTAATTTTCAACAAGCTAAAATGGCTTGGCAGGGAAGGCGAGCAGAACCACTTTGAGAAAACTAGTGCAAGTGAGAGGTTTCTTAAGTACAGAGACGCAGAACCTGGAAAACCTACTCACCGACAAGGGCGTGGGGTTGAAATACCTGTGATGGAACAGTAGACCATGTGAGGTGCAATCTTGTTGATATCTTCATAGCCCAGCCCCATCGCAGACAGTTTGCCAGGGACGTAGTTCTCTACAAACACATCACAAACGGCCGCAAGCTGAAGGAAGAGATGAAGACAAGTCAGACTTAAGGGACTCTCTAACTTTCAACGAATCCCACATGAATTCTGATTTCAGTAAACACAATTACCCTCACTTTCTAAAAGCTCAGAAAAATCACAGGAAAAGTAGAATTACAAGGTGTAATTAGATAGACATGAAGGCTCTAATCAACTACTTGAGCTATGACTGCCAATTCAGTTCAGTTCAGTTCAGTCACTCAGTTGTGTCCGACTCTTTGTGACCCCATGAATCACAATACGCCAGGCCTCCCTGTCCATCACCAGCTCCCGGAGTCTACCCAAACCCATGTCCTTCGAGTCAGTGATGCCATCCAGCCATCTCATCCTCTGTCATCCCCTTCTTCTCCTGCCCCCAATCCTTTCCAGAATTAGGGTCTTTTCCAATGAGTCAACTCTTGGCATGAGGTGGCCAAAGTACTGGAGTTTCAGCTTCAGCATCAATCCTTCCAATGAACACCCAGGACGGATGAACAACCGAGACAGTCAATTAAACAATGGCTATTAAAATGTTCAGTTAATACCATAGTGTTAAGTGGATTCTGCTTACATTAAATGTAAGAAATATCTAGGCTGTGTGGTCTATCCAAGTATATTATTAGAAATTTTAAAAATTTGACTATAAGGACATAAAATACATGAAAAATATCTTTTAACCCCTCTAAAACTAAACACATCTTTACAACCCTATCCTTATCATGTAATACTCCTCATTACAACATGTACATATTGGCACTTAATACTTGTAAACTCTTGTCAATTGCTTTCACACTTTCCAGATGCTTCCTTTCCAAAGAGTTTTAAATGCATTTAATGAATGACTAAAAAAAAGAATGCTAAGCTTTAACTCAGTAAATCAGTAACTGTCAGAAACAAGGCCCCAATTTTGATTCCCAGATTACTACTATAAGAAATAGAGAACAAACCATTGAAACCTCAATCTTAAACTTCTTTTCAAAATCTCAATTGTGACTACGTATTTTCTGAAAATATCACAAAAATTATATGAGGTCGTAAAAAAAAATTCATGACATAATTCTTAACCATATCCAAGTGACTAATAACTATTCAATAATTTTTTAATTGCCATGTTAACATAGATACATTCTCACACACACAAGCTAATGAAATAGAATAAGTCTGGGCCAGGGATAGACAAACTTTTTTCCACAAAATGTCAAACAACAAATACTTTAGCCCTTTCCAGACCACATACATTCCGTGTAACATTTTTATTTTTCTTTAATGATCTTTAACAATGTAAAATTCATGCTTAGTCCATGGGCTATGCAAAAACAAATTGGACTTGGTCCATAGTCTGCAAACCTCTGCTCTGGGTGGAAAATAATTGAATTTACATAAACTTTAGATGGAAATATAAATAAACTATGTGCCTGTTTGTTATACTGTCAACAAATTTGGAGTGAATACATGGAACTCTTTGACTTAACAAAACTTAGGGAGAGAGGATCTTAAGAGGCATCACAAGGAAATAAGCTGTCATCCTCCAGAGCTCCTGCAACAGAGGTACTGGAGACGCAGGTGACCACCTGTCAGAAAAGGAATGATAAATACATTAAGATACAGGACAGAGAAGAATAGATTTCAGGTATGCACTCCAAATCTCAAGCCATATAGGCATCCTTTCCAAATTTCAGGTGCCAATTAACTTTCGAGATGCTTCTCACATGGGCAAAATGCTCCAGGGAGAGCCCAAGTTGAGATGTGTTTATTTACTATTAGTGATTCTAACAATAACAATACCAAGTATTGCTTGGGAAATACGGAGGGAGAGTGGGTGTTAGTATAAGTAAAACACAAGGCTACAGTTCACTTCAATTTGTTCCACATACTTTTCTGAATTTCTGTCTACTACTTACAAAGCACTCCTGTGGGCACTAAAGAAAACAAATGACATCAAATACACCTAGGCTTCTATACCAGTCATCTCCTGGCTGCATAACTTGAATGGTACATACTAACAGTATAGTACAGTACCTTATGCAAATGACACTTGATAAATTATTTAATTTTAAAAACTCTGTGTGTTCCTCAAAAAGTTAAACATTGAATTACCATATGACCTAAAGATGCCATTCCTAAGTAAATACCACAAATAATTGAAAGCAGGGACTTGAACAGGTACTTATATCCAAATGTTCATAGCAGCATTATTCACAATAGCCAAAAGGTGGAAACAACCTAAGATTCATCAATAGACAAATGCACCCATCCATAAAGTAGAATATTTTTCAGTCAAACAGAGGAACAAACTTCTAATATATGCTACAACATGGATGAAACTTGAAAACATAATGCTAAGTAAAATTAACCAGACACAAAAGTACACATATTGTATGACTTCACTTACATGAAATATCTAAAATAGGCAAGTTCATGAAGACAGAAAGTAAATTAGAGGTTATCAGAAACTGAGGGAGAGGGAAGTGAAGAATTATTGTTTAATGGATACAGAGTTTGCTTGGGGTAATGAAACACATGGGAAATACATAGCAGTGACAGTTGCACTACATTATGAGTGTAACTAGTGCTACTGAATTGTGTGGTACAAATGGTTAAACAACATTTTTATATTATATATGTTATACCACAATAAGAATTATTTTTGTAGGGTATTTGCATTTTTAGATTTAAATTTTTGTAGGGTATTTGTATTTTTAGATTTCTATAGGATCATAAATTATACTTCAAATCACATAAAATAGTCAGATGAATCACAAATTCATCTGAATTTGGTGCATTCAGATGATTCATCAACTTTCAATTTGATTTGATCAACTTTCAGTAAGACAAGAAAATAAACGTAATGAATAAGCTATGCTAATAGAAAAGTATTCAGAATGGATAAAGTAAACAAAAAACATTTTAAAAAACCAATATACATATTATTATGTTTATCAGAAGAAAGCATACAAGGACATAGATTTTTATATTATATGCTAAAATAGTAATCTTTTTGCCCATGAACAGACATTACTTGTGTAACAACAGAAAACAAAAATGTTAAGCTAAAAAGAGCTGTGCTCAGAGTACCACATAGTCTGACTCTAAAATGTTATTTTAAAAAGTTAGAAAAGTTGAGTTTAGGAGCTAAAGAGTTCTACTGATAAACATGCCCAGTAACTTTTTAAAAAATATTTATTTATTTGGTTGTGCCAGATCTTAGTTGCGGCACATGGGAACTTCTATCTTTGTTGCAACCTGTGGGCTTTCTTTAGTTGTGGCATCTAAACTCTTAGTTGCGGCATGTGGGATCTCGTTCCCTAAGTCAGGCCCCCCTGCACTGGGAGTGCAGAATCTTAGCCACTGGGCCACCAGGGAAGTCCCCCAGTAGCTTTTATTATTACCCAAGAATTCAATATGTGTGCATTATGATATTTAATGATAAAATATCCCTGGAAAAGTACACAGCACATAAGTTATTCTTTTCTCCATTTTATAAACATTTCTTTTAAATAAATGTATACTAGCTATTTTCTAGATACTGATTGTTGCTGAGTCTGCCATATGACATATTCTCCTTCTCTCTCTGTTTTTAGAGACCTCATTTCAAGAACAGGTATGTTCCCTAAAGTATTAGTTAAGGCATTTGTTAAAATTCTAAACAGTGCAGTGCTGAAATCAGACACATCAGAAATCACCCTGAGTTTTATGGATCTCTACACAATCTACAAGGTTTATACAAGTCAATTGCTTCAGTGGAGACCAAACATTTACCACATTTCCCTGATATAAGAATTTACTATGAAATAAAGTGAGAGGGAAAAACAACTTATAGTCCTAGTTTTACTGGTGATCACCTCTTCCTCACTGAGGTGTTCACAAATCAACTAACAACCTATTTTAGAATTTTGCCCACAATAAAAAAAAGGACAATTTAGCATGTTGGAGAAGCCATCATCTTTTTCTTTTCTTCTGGGGGAAAAAAAAAACAATATTTCCACTCACAGTAAAACAAAAAAATTAAAATCAATTGAAATACCAGATACTTAATTCTGAGTTGTTTTCATTAGATATAATTTAGGAACACATTGGAGGAGCAAGACAAGGAATAGAGGGGAACAATGATAATAATTTAACTACATTTATCTGTTAAAAAAATTATAAAATAAATTCTAAATGTATGTCCAAGGATGTTCTTACTCATATGAGATGTATTCTTCAATCAAATGCTCTATCCCTGAGCTCTACCCCCAGGAGATATCTTCCGAAGGATTTAAAGGCAAAGTTTCATGATGTCTTCTACTTACTTTGAAATGCAAATCCAAACTACAATGAGTTATCACCTCACACCAGTCAGAATAGCCATCACCAAAAAAAGCTACAAACAATAAATACTGGAAAGGATGTGGAGAAAAGAGAACCCTCTTGCACTGTTGGTGAAATGTAACCTGATACAGTACGGAGATTCCTTTAAAAAACTAGGAATAAAACTACCATACGGCCCAGCAATCCCACTACTGGGCATATACCCTGAGAAAATCATAATTGAGAAAGACACATGTATCCCAATGTTCACTGCAGCATTATTTACATAGATAAGACTTGGAAGCAACCTAGATGTCCATCAACAGATGAATGAATAAACAAGTTTGGTACATATATATAATGGCATATTACTCAGCCATTAAAAGGAATGAATTTGAGTCAGTTCTAATGAGGTAGATGAACCTAAAGCCTGTTATACACAATGAAATACGTCAGAAAGAGAAAAACAAATACTGAATAAAAATTCCATAATGAATATATATGGAATCTAGAAAAATGGTACTGATGAACCTACTTGCAGGGCAGGAATAGAGACAGAGATGGAGAATAGATTTGTGGACACAGAGTCCACAAGAAGAAGGAGAGGATGGGATGACTTGAAAGAGTAGTGCTGAAACATATATATATCCGTATGTAAAACATATGGTAATGCTTCACATATGAGAGCTAGTGGGAAGCTGCAGAATAAT